CAGCTGCTGGATGCCTGGATCTGTCTGAGACTTGACTAGACAGGATACCTGAAAAAGTATCAGTGGGCCGTGAATTGGTGGTTTCTCTCCTGGAAGTAAACATTGAGGATAAGGTAAAAAAAAAAAAAGGCAGTCAGCCAGGTCATCACAAGATGTGCTCAGAGTCAGTTTAATTTGAAGGTCTGCCCTTTGAGCACATTTTTCTAACTTTGCCAAAATGTTGGCCCAAAAATCCCTGAAGTTTCACTCTTCAATCCCCCTAATCCTTGCCAGCTCCATCGTCTAGGATTAAGGCGCATGATAGAAGGTTTCAAGGAAAGGCTTAACGTAGGTTTAATAACCAGAGCATGTCCACAGTGCAGAACATCTCATCATATGACCAGACACCAGAGCGAGGCACACATGGACATAAACCTCACAGACACGTAAGCACTCACTACATGCAGCTTCTCTAGCTGTGGCAGAGACTCAGACCAGGGGGAGATTATACCTCACAACAAGAGTAATACCTAAGTCTCTGCAGAAGAAGTGGAGATTAGAGTTAGCAGTATACGTTCAGCTGGTTCTCACCAGTGCTGACACACAGCTTAGCAGCGAGAGCATTTATCAAACATGGATCGAAGCCAAACATGCAAAAAAAAAATATATTAAAAAATCTCCTTGGTAAGTTTTTTGACTTGTTTTGGTTTTTCCGACTCAGATACAACCTAGTGACTGCTATTTTATAGTGTGATATATTTTTAGTCTGCTTATTATGGGCAGTAACTGTCAGATAGCAAAAGGCTCATATTATATCATTCATGTGTGTTACACTGAAAAATGCACTCTTACGGAAATATGAAATTACAAAAGCTTATGTCTTATCTCAAAACTTACAAGGGATTGTTTATCATACTGAGACTTAAGGTACAAGACCTGGGTCCACTTGCAAGGCCTTCATGGATTTCCAGGGGTTTATACCACCTGTTAAAAACAACAAAAACCCACAACAAATAATTTATAATTTACACACAACTGTAAGGTAGAGACAAGGTTTTTTTAAAGTGTACAGAAGGCGCTGTACTATAAGTGTACGTCCAGACAGACGGCCACTGGACTCAAGAGCTGACACGCTGCATCTTATCTCCTCTAGACAACCACTTGGTGATTAAAGCCTATCACACTCACTATGCTGGGACATCGGAGCTCTTCTAACTGTGGATGTGTGAATGTTTTTGGACAAGTCTAAAAATACCAGATAGTTTTATGCGGCACTCAAGACCAAAAAAACATCTATATGCATTTTGGATCATTTTCTATCATGGAATGATAAACAGGGTTTAGGCTATGTCTAGTGTAAATGGAAAATCTTAAATTATACAGTTTCGCATAAGCAAAGGAATGTCCTAATGGTGGAGTCCGTACGTCGGCGTCTTCATCTCAGCAACAAGCCGTTTCATACACGGCTGCATAGGGAGCCATTAAGAGAGAGAGAAAGATGCCAGAGTAAGCTCAGCATATTTTGCTTCATCTGGCTGTCTGTTTTTTATAAGGCCACTATGATATATAAAAGGCATACAATAAAAATGTATGGCACTGGACAGCATGTTCTTAGTCTATGTCACAAACTCTGAGCATCAATCCTGTACAATTTAATTCTTGTGTGTTCTGCTAAAAGGCCATGCCTTTGAAACCACAACGTTATTTTGACATTCGTCTGATTTCCCTTCACTCCAGGCTGCCGTCACTACAGAAGTGTTGATGGGTCCTCTGACCCTTTTACAGTATATGGTGACATATGCCAAAATTTGATTTGTGAGTATTAAGTCAAACCTGGTGAAATTATTCAGGTAACAACAACAAGAGCAGCAGGCAACAGTAAACAGGAAATGGATCCTGTCCTATGCGAGTGAGTGCACAGTTGTGGAATGTTCTCCGAAGGAGATATATCACATGGTGAAAAGTATAAAATAGGGAATCTTTTAACAGACCGAGAAGGGTTGCGAAAGAGGCTGTGAGTTAGTGTTAGCTGAGTTTGTGTTGACAGTCCATATTTATGTATTGACTTACTATGATGACGGTATAATATTTTTTCAAGGTCTTAGTGTTTTCAGCTGCTCCCTTCAGGAGTAACAATGGTGGATAACTTGCTTCTATCTTCTTATATACTGCTTATGATACAGACCTTTAAGTCTGTATCTACTTCACTGATGGATGAAGTGTGTGTAGAGATAATGGGCTTTGTGAGCATAACTAGAAAAGAGAGTATAAATAAAACTATTTATACTAAAAACAGAAATGGTGTTAGGTTTGTCAGGTATATCCTGCTGCAGGATGTTTTCATGTTTCAATAAAAACACAGGGGTGTGGATATAGCCTTATTGAGTATCACAGAAATTCTGTACTTAAATAATCTATTCTGTATTGAGCAGAAGCAAATAGATACCCCAGGTTTAATTACATGCATGGCATTGATTTATGCAAAGAGCCTGGAGTGCAATGTGGACAAGGTCAAAAACTACCACACACTAAATGCATGCATGTTAAAAATCTGTTGGTTAAAAAGCTACATAAAAATCCATACCCTTCACAGCAACAGTTCCGTCCAAGCTAGTTAAAAGTTGTGAGCTGAAGGCAGAGTAATTTGTAGCTGAACACAGCTGTTAATTTAAAGAGAGACCAAAAAAGGAGACAAGAAAAAGTGTAGACCAGAATCACACACCACCAGCAGCATGCTGAAACTATTTTTTTCACTTGTGTATTGCAGAGTTTTCATAGCAAACAGAGTTCAACTTTGACAGCCACACAAACCGCTGGGCTTTGAGATTGTGGATAGAGTCTACATTCCAACATAAAACAAATTAGAGTGGAGGCCAAGCAGAGTCTGTGGTGTGGAGCCCACGCCTCTGCTGCGTGTTGACTCATGAAGCAGACCCTGGCTGTGCCATTTTCACCAATTTGCTCTGAACCTTCCTGAGACAAATAACTTCCACAGTGCCGTTACACTCGCCGCCTCCACTCTCCTGGCTGCTAGCCAGCGTGCTCACTGAAAATACAGTCAGTTTAAGCTGTCCTGTTTTTTTTTTTTTTTTCCATTAGTCCATTTTGGCGTTTGCTTTAGTTTTGTCCGCAACTCACTTCATCACTGACTTCACTTCATAGTGTATTAAAGGTTGGGATCTTTTTAATATTAACCAAACAGAAAAAGAAGGATGCAGCCGTCTGAAAATTTGGAAGCAGTCGCAGACATGAGAAGGAAAAAAAAAAGATATGTGAGATTGAGCGAACTCAGATGTTATGTGTTACAAAGAAGTAGAAGAAGAGGGTTTAGTTTGGGAGGAGTTCAACTGCAAAAAGACCCCCAGGTCTTTGAGAGCCAACAGATGTTGTACAAGGGATTTCCTTCAAGAGAGACAGGCCAATCCATGGATCAGTGGGAGGTGGCGCTAGAGGTTGTGCCTTAAGGGTGGCGCATGCCAGCCAACTGTCCTGCGCTCTGCAGATGACCCTGAAGAATGGCCCCAAATCCGTCAGGATGAACCGTGGCTGCTTCAACACATCCGACGCCCTGAACCTCCCCTGCTAATCTGAGTCAAAGAAGACAGCTGGCTCCATGTGGTGATGGCGGGGATTTCACAGGAGCCTCAAAATCGACGACAGCTACAGATAAACATGGCAGAACTAAGATAAACAAAGTGGACCAAATTCAGGTCATTATTTAATTTCTTCTGCTGTTTGTGGCTGCAAAGAGCAAAGCCCTCCCCTGGAGAAAGAAGTATCAGCATCTGAGATGTGCAGCCAACCCTGTGCGGTCAGTGAGATGCAGTCAGCCGGGCCACTAGACAGCAGGCCCTGAGGTTATCGCCCGCTCAAGTGGATCGGTGCTCCGTCCATTACCTCACTTTACTATCACTGCAGCCAGGAAAAGGGAAAATGAGCTATTCATAGAGCCTCTCTGGGCATCGCATGGAACAGTGGGTGAAACTACAGTGACTTTTATAACAGAGAGAGAAGTGAAAAGTGCACACATGCTGTGTCACAGAAAACTACTGTGCATTTACATACTGTACACTTAACATACTGTAGAAACTATTATTGGGAGATTAAATATAAAGTTAGCAAAATTTACTACCTTAAGTTGACTTAGGCCTCCAAACAATATTTGTCATTTTGTTAAAAAAGTAATGTGATGAACTTTAAATCACCTAGATATGGACCGATTTCCAACATTTAGTATGAACTTTAAATCACCTAGATATGGACAGATTTCCAACAACATTTAGCTTTCTTAATGTAACATATGTCACTAAATGGAAAAATGGAAAAAGTAAAAAAAGACAACTATTTGCCCATAGATAGTCAAATGCAAACAAATGAACACAAACAGTGTACCTGTAAATAGGAAAATACATTTGTTTTTGTAGTTGGGAATCCATATAACTGAATGAAAAAAACAAGGAGTATTGCGAATGTTTCAGTCATCAGCGATCTATTATATAGCAGTAAACCACTAAGGAAGTTCAAGTTTTGTTGAGTTGACATGTCTGACTCAAAGAACTCATTAATTATACCAAAAAGGCTTGTTTTAGCTTATTTAAATACATAAGGCCAACATGACTCACAATAAGTGCTTTGGCTTAGGCTTTAGGTTAAGAGTCTGTGATAGAAAGATTGTGGGCTGTACTGTAAATGTGGATAATGATAAACCAAACAAATGGGGTAGGCATATTTTACCCTGGCAAAACAAAACTTGTTGAAACTTGGATTATGCTAACAATCATTGGTAAGTAGGGGAAATTGTTAAATCCAGACTTCCAAATAATTTTTCCAAAGAGCTGTGCCTTAGCTCTCAAAGTGAAACAGTTAGCAAAAGAGAGCAAGTCAAAGAAAACACAACAGAAACCATGACTTCCTGCTTTGGGGCTTTTTTGTAAAGCAAGAACTTAGGTTTACCAAAAATCGGGGTAAAACAGCCAAAAGTCATGTTTTTTAAAAAACTTTAAAATCTGTGTGAAACTTACCCTCAATAGAAATCAAGGAACACTAACAGCAATGAGTCAGATTAATGGCTTATTGGTTGTTCCCACTCCCCTGTGAAGAAATCTAAATTGCCATTATTATTATTTCTTCAACCTTTCTCTCCAGCAGAGGTCCATACTGGTTGCTTAAACAATATAATTATACATAGTTGGGACTGAGTTGCAGAGAAGGGAGTAAAGAGACACCCACTTAGTGAGTAGAGGAGAGAGCGAGGCCCGGAGCATGTTGGCTTGTCATTATGGGTCTGTTTGAACTTTATACAGAAACAGCAGCCAAAACTTGAGTGTGAGCCAATGGGGCTCTGAACTCTGGTCCTCACAAGTCCTGCCAACTGTCTTGTTTTCTTACATGAAAAAAAAAAACTACCTCAGAAATAACCTTGGTATACCGTATCTGCTACTATTGGGGAAATTGGTTTACTTCAGCTCCATAAGTAGTAGATTTAGGGGAAAAGGTTTGAACATTGTGCTGTTCAGAACAAGTGAGCATAAACAAACGCCAGATTCCTCAAAGCTGTGGTCAACGGGTTATGAAGCCATTATCTAAAGGTCAGAATAACATGGTGAAGCTAAACAGATATTAAGGACTTGTTGCACTTTCAATTTGCATAATTTATACTTCAGCTACAGTGGAAATGCGTACAAGTGCTGGCAGCATGAACCATCTAGCTTATTAAATATGGAGCTTAGCTGTTAAAGGTCTGGCTACTGGCTACTAAAATCTAAATATAGAGTATTTCGTCACACGGTCTTTTAAACCTTTCAACATTTATCAATTCAGAAATCAATCTCATCCATTTTATTTTTTTTTTCTTTGTGACAAGATATTAGATCAGAGTCAACAAAAAAGAAACCTTGAAAACTAAAAAATGCATTCAATTTTTTCATCACAACACAGGTACCTGACGGATGCCCTGGTATGTTTAGACGTGTGTGTATGAATGCAGGCATCTTTTAATACAGAGATGACACACACATACTTACACACACACACGCACGCACAACACTTTCGTTCCCCATCTTGATTAGATTACAGTGAACAGCTTGGTGACAGCCTCTGGGCACGCTAGGGGAGCAGTGATATCTGAGCTTTGCTACTCCTCTACTCTCAGCAAGTCGAGAGACTAAAGAGATAATATATCTGAGAAGCTGACCTCACCAATGAAAGCCGCTCTTAAAGCATCATGGGAACAAATTTGTCAACACCGGTAGAGGCCACTCTCAAAAACAGAAAGACCTTGTTTACTCTTCTTACATTACAAACCTGCAGAGTGCCAAATACCAGCCTTGCTAACATGTCTTCAACCCCTGGATGTTAAAGTAAAGCATAAATGTCCTCTACACCAAAGCCAGTCTGTCACTGTGGGACTTTAACAGACGATAGAATCTATTGTATCTGTGATACGTCTTTAAAATAATGTCTAAATAGATTATCAAACACGGGTGCAATGACCGCATTTCTTTCATATAAACCTACTATTTATAGCTCTCTTGTCCTTGACAAAAAGCAGACGCAGAGGCAAACATAAAGGGTTTTGTTCTCATTGTAGCGATTGACCACCTACCAAGGGCTCTTTAGAGGAGCGCTCACCCTGGAAGGATCAGGCCACTTCTCCCCCAGGGCCCCCAAGGCTTGAAGGGGTCGCTGGGCCAAACACATCCTGCCCATCTCCTGAGAGATTATCCAACTCAATGAACACATTGAGTGTAGAAACAGTGGAAGAAACTAGAGCCTGCTTTTCAGCACCACCTCAACCCAAACTCATCTGTTCAAACACAACATAGAGGCCAAGGGAAAAAAATATTGAGACATGCTGCACTTACGGGCTACTTCCAGTGAGGCATTGTGGCTCACTGCCTCCCCCAGGTAGTTGCGGGCAACACAGACGTAGGAACCTTCATCAGGTTTGCTCCTTCTTCCATGGACGATGCGTAAGAAGAAAAGGGAACCACTGGGCAGCAGCATACGCTGAGAACGAGGATTGTCCCTGTCCGTTTCCACTCGCTCTCCATCTTTGTACCACTCCACTGTCGGGGTCGGCCGACCCTCAGCTTTACAGTTGAGAGTGGCCGGCTCCCCCTTAGATACAATCAGGTCAGATGGGTGCTCCACAATCCGGGGTGGGGTGTCCTCTTGACGCAGACGAGATCCTAGGAAGAAAAAAAAGTTTAAGTTTTAACAAAATTATGGTTTTTAGATGGATTTAACACAACCAAACAATCTCTATAAACAAGAAACAAGGCTCATGTTTTTTATACTATTTTATTGCATGTTGGCAAACATTTAACTATTTGATACATTTTTTTTATTTATTTGATTGGGAATTTTGCTGCGTTTTTGCAGCTGGCCAGGTTATTGGTAGAATGTTACTTGAACGCATCTGTTTTTCACTTCTATGCGTATATGTCTTCCAGATTTCTTCCAGAAAGTTTAGATGCATTGTCATAATTGTGTCTAAAGTATACACAAAGTATGCGAATGCAAAGATTATAATTTGAAACTAAAACACAGTCTTTTCTTAGCATCAACAGATAAGGTGGTAATAAGTAGTAAAATGGTAGACCAAATAAACGACCCATCTGTGTACGGGGGGTTAGCCTTTAATTACGGAAACACCACCTTCATTGAAGCACAGCGTGGCACCAGCTTTGTAACTCTGTCATTTCAGATGAAAGAGCAAAAAAGATGAAGAAAGAAGCCAGAGTAAATAAGAGTTTGACACACCTTGAAGGTAGAAGGAAATTAAGAGATGAGAGATATGATACGGATGTGCCACGTAGCTTTGTGATTAAAAGGAAATGCAGCAAGATTATAGAACTGAAGAAAGGGAGCAGCCAAAAACACTGCTCCCAGTGGCGGCAGGGGGTGGAATTAATACCCCTGTGGTATCTATGGTCATTATTATTGCTCTCTGACTAGTCAGCTGTGGCTATCAAACCTGCTTTACATGCAAATTAGTTTCCTGTTGTTAATTCCTGAAGGGTGGGATTTGGTGGATGGAAATGCTTTGTGTGTCTGTGAGAGTGAGTTATTTCCTTCCTGCCATCTTCCAGCACATAGGCCTTTGGAGCTCATTCAGCGCCAATTAAAAAGAGTCAGGTCTAATTGGAGGCCCAGGCCTGCAATTAATTTAGGCAGTGCTCCGTGGACTTGCCACACTGCCTGATGTCTGTGCCCTCCACCCATCCTCTGCAACCCTGGAAATCTGGTGCTGAGGAGGCATCTTCTTGTGGTCACCACAGATTTTTAAGTAAAGTCAGCATAATTAGTGACAGCTCTGTGGAAAGATTAATAACTCCACCACATGTGTGTAGTGTGGTCAACGGCTTCTAATAAATCTACTGGTGCTACGGAGGACATCACCATCATGTGTACTCTTTTAATAACTACTTACAAAAATATATGTTTTATTTTATTAAAATATATATATTATATATATATATATATTTTTTTTTTTTTGAAAATCTTGAAATTTTACAAACACATATTCTCTTACTTTGTCAAGATTTTGGGAAGACATTTTCCCAGAAACATTTCTGTTTCTTCAACATATTAATGCTACAATTACAAAAGGCATTGTAACTATATAGCATATTAACATGGTCCTATTCCATATCCTTATAAGAATTCATTTTTGTTAGATAGCCAGAGCAGGTAGAATATGTATTGTTATGGCATAAACACTACATGCATATTGAAAAATATTGGCAAAGGGTCATTACGGGAATTTAAGAGATACTGATAAAAAAAAAAAGAAAGAAATAGACCAGAACAATCCTGGTATTGCTTCTGTTGTACCTCAGTCTTGCTGTGAAAATGCTTTGGCTATTTCTTTTGTCTTAATCTGCAGCCTTGAAAAATAAGATTTGACAGAATAATGGAACGAATGTAGGGGTAAGATTTAAGATCAAATAACTTAGCCTGGCCTCTGACAGTGAATTTAATTGTGTGAAAAAATAGAGAAAAGAGACATTAAATGTCTTAACCATCACATTGCTAATTAACTTCAATTTGTATTTCTTACAAATGTCAAAGTCTTTTGAATATCCAGAATTTACTGAAGGTAGTCTGCAGGAGCAACCTCAGCTCTCTCTCCTCACTATTTCCACTTACACCCGCTAGCTCTACCATCACCAGACTAATATGTTTTATTAAAGAGTTCTTTGAAGATGCTCTGCTGCTCTCTCCTTTTACCCATTCCCTTCCTGATTTACAGAGTTCCCCTATCATTTCAAAAGGGTCTGAAGTTGTGGTTTTTATAGGGGAGCCATTAACTATTCAGGAGAAGCCTACTGCGAGCAGCACAGTGTGGTAGGCAGTGCTATGTTTGATCAGCAGCTGTTTACTGTATACGATGGATTCAACATGTTCAAAATGCAGCGGGAGCACAGAACACCGGCTAGGTCTGAGCAGGAAGGTCTGGAGACCATGGGTTAGCATTAGCACTTTATCAGGTTTCTTAAAGCCTGCAGTACTACTAATTATCTGTGGGTTAATTTCAATCTGCTTTTTTATCCATTCTTTTCTGCAAACTGTTTACCGTTTCCAACATTTAAGTTTGTTGGTAATACAGTAGATATATTTGAGTAATTGCATGTTTTTTTTATAAATAAATAAATTTTAATAACTTACAGTCTCCTATAAAGACATTTCCTTTATTTTAATCTTTATCAATCCAGCTTTGGGCTATCTGATTTAAAAAGCAAAGAAAAGCTCTAATTATGCTGAATTGTAGAAATCTGTTCAAAACCCAATCTGGCTTGCTTTGAAACATATCTGCACACTGTGCTTAGAGTATCACACTGAGTAGGAAGCGTGTAAATAAATATTCACAGATACAGGTGCAACAGTTCATAAAAGGTCTATTAATAAATGCATCGTGACTACATCATAAGAACTGTTTTTAGAATTTAATTATTATCAGTATGTATCCATTACATATTGATTTGATGCTGTCTTGTCCCAGAATACATTTATGGTGTGTTTACATATGTGTACGCGTGTGTGTGTGTGTGTGTGTGAGAGTTAGCTGCAATGATCCCTGCAGACACTGACAGTGACACTGTTTACTTCAGCACCATTACCTCACATCAGGGGAAAAAAGAGGCAGGCAGTGTGGTGGTTTATTCTGTCATCCCCTCTCTACAGATGCATGCTTTTAACAAAATCTTTTACTACAGTAACCCATAACGTCCAAATGTGGAAAAAAAAAAAACAGGACAGGAGCCGAGTAGACGCATTACTACTGAGCCCAGCTGTTCCAAATCTCTTTCTCGCTTTGCTTGCAGTCATCCAACGCTCATTTTATTTCAAAGTGCTGCCCTTCTTTCTCCTCCGCTGCTTTCAACCACCCTCTCCTCCTTCGCCCTTTTCCCCTCTCCCTCTCTTTGTTACTTCCAGACAGAGAATGGGAGATGAGCTAATGCAATACACAGCCTCACCAAAGGGAACCTGGGAGTTCTACAGCAAGGATCTGATCGATTGGTGCCTCAGGCAAGATCTGCGTCTCCCTTAACCCTCCCGCCTGCTGGAGCGCTCTGTGTTTCTAATTTACTCACTCACTCACTCACACACAAACTTGTGTACAGTGCTACGCTGTGCTTGGGGGAGTCTTTGCTCACTGAGGAGGTAATTTAAAAAAAATCCAACAGTTCTCCGCAACTTTTCTCTCCCTCTCTGTTAAAACCAATCGCAATAATGAACAACAAACTACGAGAGACTGACAGCAACAACAAGCTCACTTATTTGGAAAAACCTCCAGACTGACACATACAGTCATCACAAGGGGCCAAAACCAGATACTGACCCGTGTGCTCACAGTATTTGTGTGGGTTTTTTTCAGACCTCTGGGGTGTTTGCCAACTCTCTCCCTTGCTCTCCAATCACAGATGGATGGGGCATGACCATGAGATTTGTGGTTGTTTTCAAAAAGCCAAGGTCGTTCTGCTGGCCACTGGATCAGTTAGCATACACTGCAGATTAGCATTAAGACCAGCAGCTACATATTGATCCCTCTGTGCCTCTGAGCTAAACTTGATTTTCACCATGCAAAATGATTTGATAAGAATCTATATTTCACCAAACAGCATCCTTCACTGCCATCTCATTAAAATACAGCAGAGTAGCAGATTATAACTGCAAAGCCCAAGTGACTCACTCAACATTCGTATTGTATTCGTGTTATACTGAATTCAAATTTAACCAGATTTTACACTTCATACATATTTGAAGACAAGAGTATCAACTGTTTATTTTTAGCCAATAAGAACACAACTGAGCCGAGAGTGATAAGGGAAGCTGATATTTTACAAAAACGTATTAACTTGGGACATTTGGACATCATGTTGTGCATCTTAAATTGCAAGCCTTTCCAAATTGATGAACTACAATTGCATTAGTGGTCCATCATAGAGAATATTGTCCAGTATCATTTTTCATCTAATAACAAGGAGATTATAGCAGTCTGCTACAAATGGATGCAACTACACTGATTATAGATGCTGGGTGCTGATTGGCTAGAGTTGATGTTTGCCCCTTTTTTACCCAAATGAGGCAACATTACGGTTAGTGGCTGTTGGCCAGCTGTCACGACATCATGGGCTCCTTGAAACTAGAACTTTGACTCTGAGTAGCCTTAGGACAAGGAAAAAGACAAGCAGGGTCAGTGATGCTGGAGTAAGGGTTATCCCTCCAACAGAGCAGGGTTGCCCTCTGCAAATAGAGGCTCTCATACAGCCACAGGCAACATCATATTTGACATCATTTTATATGACTAATTAATAAACTGTTCTGAAAAAGTCAATAAAAAGATGGGCAA